AAAAATGAAGTTTTTCATTGACACTATAATTTAAGAACAATACTAAATTGATTATTTTATTCATTCATACTGTTTATTCAGCATACAAAAATAACAACTTCATATACAAATATCATTTTATCCGACATACATCTTAACCTAGACAAACGTCTTAATCCAGATAAGACTTAATTGAAAAAAGTACGGAAAACTATCAAATAAGTCCTCGTATTATATTCAAAAAGTCAATTAAGTCCTCGTACTATGAAAACATTCAATTAAGTCCTCCAACTATATAAAAACGTCCAATTCTTCTTTTTCTATTTCTCTTTTGTTTTTTGTTTTTTTCTTTCCTTTTTCTCTTGTACGGTAGCATCGTTTCTGCCCCTAGGCCTTAGCAGCTTCACCACTGGCATCATGTCCTCTGTGTTCAGCCGCTGGCCAGCAGCACACCCTACGCCGGCCTTGAACTGCGACAACTCCGGCGATGGTGGGACTTCAGTGACCTGTGTCAATACGGATGCAGACCTGCAACGATGATTGGGCTATAATCACGGCGATGGTGGGATTTCTGCAACACAGAGCATGGGAGTTTGCAGGAAACACCGTATGAATCATCAAGTGGCGGCCAGATCCAAATCAGGAAGCCAAATTTAATCGGCGACCACATCAGACTATATAGATGTGCGCAGTGCGCTCATCTGTGCACAGTCACGGTGTCCACCACCAGCGAGTCAGCGACGTCGAGTAAGATTGACAACTTATGGGCAAACAACTCATTCACAAGCACCTACCGGGCCGATGGCACACGAAATCCAATTGGGTTGATCTATTTTTGCAAATGATTTAGGGATTGAGTTTCTAAACTATATGGCCTAGATTACTGCTATATTTTTATTAATGAAATTAATGGTGAATGTGTATCTCGTATTGAGAGAAATTGGAAAGAAAAACTAAGCATGGAACAAGGTGAAGTGTAGAGATGTGGGGGGAAGAAGTGAAGAAGGGTCGGTGCATCTAGATGAAGACGAAGAAAGGAGGAAAGAGAAGGGAAATAAAAATTGACGTGGCATCAAGGTTAATACCACATGGCAAACCAAGTGAGCTGCAACCGGAATAATTGGTACTCAACCGGCTAACAAGAAGAATTGGACGTTTTTATATAGTTTGAGTACTTAATTGAATGATTTGATAGTACGAGGACTTAATTGACCTTTTGGATATAGTATGAGGACTTATTTGACAGTTTTCCCAAAAAAGTAAAACCCTTTAGTTTAATATAGATCTTGTTTGATAACTCTAGAATTGATCGAATCGACTACTTATGCTGAAAATGATTAATCCTTTAGTTCCATACATATCCACTTTTTATAGATGCTGAACATAATCACCCTGCAATCATGAAAAATATCATTTTTACATTCCTTCTATAAACTTATTGTGATGACATTCCTGACTTTCTTGCTATATAATCTCTAAACAATAGAACTCTTCAAACGAAGGAGAAACCCGATCAAAACTGAAATTTATGAAACTGAATAGTGAAACTATGAAAGCATACTTTAGTTTACATTCTCTTCCTTTTTATAATAGCAAGAGTTCAATTCTAAGTAATTTTTATGTTTCTAAAATTGGAATATAGAAACACAAAATAAAGCCTACGTAGGTTTGTAAAGTTCTGAACTTATGTTTCTAAAATGGGAATATAGATTATAAAAACACAAAATATTAATATAGCCTATGTAGGTTTGTAAGTTAGGAAGATTCGATCCATTAAACTTGGATTCCCAACCTCAAGTTCTTTACGTAGGTTTAATTTGATGTTTCTAAATTTTGAAGTTAGATATTTGAAATATAGCATTATAGCCTATAGATACATGATTTTGAAGTTGCTAAAGTTATCAAATAAGGTGAATTTCTATATCATCACATAATAAAAATAGAATGTAATGAAAAAATAAAAGGTATAAAAAGTAATTAAATTATTGTTATAGAGTTCGTATATCGGGGAACCCTCCCATGATGAGCATCGTACTCCTGCAATCAAAACGAAACAGTTTTGCATTTTTTAATAAAAATTTCCGCGCGTGAACAGTACACGCGTGTACAGTAATTTTTTTTTTTGTTTTTCCTTTGTTCTAGTAGCAGTGTGATGTAACTCACGTGTAAAGAAATGTAACTCACGTTATTGATCAATGTAACTCAAGTCCAATTGAAATGTAACTTGTCCAATACATAGTATAAGAAATAAAACATTGATTTCAATGTAAATAATGAAAAAAAAGTCTACTTCCCAATTATTTTACAAAAATAGTGTATATGTTTTGTTTCTAATATATCAAGGCTATAAAAATGATTTTTTATGAAATTAATTTTTCTTTGAGTAGCAGAGGCTTTTTTGAGTTGTGTAACTCGCATTATATTGTGGTGTAACTCGCATTATGAAAAATGTAAATCACGTGTAAGTAGATGTAACTTGTTAAGAAAAATTGACATGTAACTCACACTTAGATATGTAACTTTAAGCAAATCTTGATGTAACTTGAGCGTACGCAAGATGTAAATTGAGAAGATTTAAAATAATTCATGGCAGCCATCTTCAATAAGTAAATTGTGTAAGAAAAATTCCAGTTTAATACTTAAGTGGCCGTTTGGAGCCTCAAAAATAGGCTTATAAGCCTGAAAGTGTGAAAAAATCACCAAACATTGGCTAAATGGGCTGTTTGGGCTGTTTAGGCCGATCAGCCAAAAAGTAACGATAGAGTCCCTTTTTCCGCTGAAACTTATTAATTCAGTGTAGCCTTCCGTAATTACTCTTTGCCCAATTTTATATATCGATCGACTCCTCCTTCCCCACACCAAATCGACGGCTTCTTCTTCAAATTCTTCAAGATCGATGAGGTATCCATCCGCTCGGCTGTTTAATCTCTCCCTCCAGATCGGTGACTTCTCTTGCTCGGTTTCTTCATATATTCATCTAAAGGTAAGGTATAAATTGTTCTTCTTCAATTTTCGCAAACGGCAGACCTATTGTTCTTCTTGGGTAGGAGGCGAAATTGGCCTGCAATTATTTTCTGGGTGTTCGTTTACAAAGGAGCTGTGGAGAAGTGCAGTCTAATTTGTGAAGAGTTTGACGTTTGCAGAACGGAGGAGTTGGATGGGTTTACAGGAAGCTCTAATTTCTGAAAATACCCTTATGGTAATTCCACATCCAATCAACCATTTCAACCAATATATTACCAAACACTTTGAATTCGGCAGATTTAGGCTTTTCAGGCTTTTCAGCCTTCGGCATCTTCGCGCCCTCGACATCTTCGCGCCCTCGACATAAAAGTAGCTTTCGACTACACTGAGCCTTCGGCTACACAAAGCCTTCGGCCACGGGGAGCCTTCGGCTAGTAGCTCAAATCATCAAAGATTCCCTTTGGGGACAGACAACCACGACATTTAATGCAGCGTCACATCCACCCACCGCATTTAATGCGGTGCACATGCGAATGCCAGTGCCACCCCGATTGAGGTGACCCATCGGCCGTCAGATTATCGACATGTGTACTCTCATCGCATTTATGGCTGCTATAAATAGCAGCCTTTACTCCTCTTGTAAAGGATCCCAGATCAGATTTCATTAATATATTTGACTCTCTCTCTTACTCGTTTGCTCCGACTTCTCTCTAGGTTAATCTCAGCTTCGTTCTTTTTGAGTATTAGATGAAGTGCTCACAAATCAAGTCTTTGTTTCATTGTTATCTCGCAAGACACAAATCCAGCTGAATAATCAATTCGAAGTGCGCACAAAAATATCAGACTCAAAAGTTTATGGGAACAGAGCATGGCTTTGACGGACTGTCGGACAAGATCGACGCTTCAAATCAGTCATTAAGGCTGAGCGCCGCCGCCGCGAGGATGAGCAGTTGCACCGCCGCTACTTCCTCGCCGGCGAATGTCATGACCAACTTCAGATGCTCTTTCTCAAGACGGAACACACGTAGGCTCTCTAATCTGGCGTAATAACAACAACGTAATACTTGCTTTTTAAATTAATACCAAGCAATACTATGTCGTTTTGGGACCGGTGCACCATCCTCATGGTACACCGATCGCACGATATAATTTGCGTTGTTATATACGATGACATGGCAGGATTATGTGGCACACCGTATGCTCTTAAAAAATTCCTCTTATATATATATATATATATATATATATATATATATATATATATAGGGAACTCTTCCGGTAAGGTATACCTTACCGGAGCCTCCGTGCGGCCTCCACGTTTTGAGGGTCTTCCCGGTGGAATTTTTTGATGAAATTTTTGGAACATGTTCTTCATCAAGTCTAGTACATCCATACCAAATTTCAGCAAAAAATTCAATCGGGAAGGCAGCCAAACGATTTATGGAAGATAACTGCGTTTTATATGTATATAAATGGTGCAGTTATTTTCCAAAAATCATTTGACTGTCTTCCTGATTGTATTTTTTACTGAAATTTGGTATGGATGTACTAGACTTGATGAAGAACATGCTCAAAAAATTTCATCGAAAAATTCCACCAGGAAGGCCCTCAAAACGTGGAGGCCGCACGGCGGCTCCGGTAAGGTATACCTTACCGGAAGATTTTCCTATATATATATATATATATATATATATATATATATATTGTTATTGATTTTATTTAAATACCCGAGTAATATTTTAGAAAACTTCTAATTTTATTTAGTTTTCATAAAGCATGGACAAGGATGATGGCCCCAAGCTCCGGTTTAGATCCATCAGTTTGGACTTTGGATCGAGTCAATCAGGTAAATCCGTAAATGTTTTTGCCGTCCTCCAAAAGTATAGTTGTCACTCGTCAGCGTACAAACATGGTCCATGCCTATCTACGGTTTAAGAAATGAGATCATGCCAAATCTAATACTACATCCGTCCCGGTGGACTTTGCCAAGTGCAAATAGGTGAGAAATAAAAATAGTAAAAATTGTGTGCTTGAACTTTGTACAAAGGAGAGAGAAATGTGCAGAACCACAAATTAGCTGCTTTATTAGGAGTTAGGAAAGTGGCAAAATTTTTTGGGACAACCAAAAAGAGGAAGTTAGCAAACTCCAATGGGACAGAAGGAGTACAAAAAGATGCTTTCCCCCCACCTTGACACCGAGGGAGGCTTGAGTCATATAGTTTACGGTTGCGATGCAAAATTACACCAACTCCCACCTTGTTTCATTGAGACCTAAGGCTTTGGCGCGGACCCGAGACGGTTCCAATTCCGGACCAGTTCAGAGTACAGATTAGAGACTAGGGAGGACCGGAGGAACCAGTCATTAACCAAGAAAGTCGGTCTTGGTTCCAGCTCCGATCCATTCTTGGTCTCTTGCCGGACTGCCGGGTATTCGGGTAACAATCTGGTCCGGTTCTGGAACCGTGCCTCCTACTGATGCCAAACAAAGTAAATAATAATAATAAATCAACATGTCTTTTCTACAAGAGCCCAAAGAAAGGGTGTTGGGTTGTCTTCTTGTGCGGCAGTCTACTTTCTACCAGCAAGCTGTGGAAAGAAATTACAGACACCTACGCCAGAGGCATTTCGTACCTCATACGTAGTAATAAACAAAAGATCAATAACCATTGAAGGAAACGGCGAGTATATAATTGCATACAATAACTTAAACAAATACAACGAATGGACATCATTCAACTGCCACCTCTGTTTTACATTTTACACTGCCCTTTTGGGTTCGATATAATTAGAAGAGAAACTGAGTTCATAAAAATATCAATAAATTGAAATTCCAATTGAATGGGAGCACATTGAAATAGAATGGAAATGCCCTAACACTATAAATCAGACCTTATATTATACCACTTATATAGTTGTATTTACAAAATAATATTTTACCCTTTTACATATATATAATTTTTTACGGACAAATCACTTCTACAATTTACAGAGCTATATATATATATAATATTGTATAAATTACGTATCATAGCACCTGTACCATATTCACATTGGATGCGCTGAATGAGATGCCACAAGAAGAGCTGCCCCTAATCCCGATCCATCTACGGTAGCTGAAATGGTAACATGTGAGGACACTTCTTCCCCTAGGATCTCTACCACTGCTTCATTCAAGTATTCTCTGAATGAGGAGTAGCTAGTATACATGTCACCTTCAATGGCCACGACCGTTCTTTTCATCCTACATGACCTTCCACTTCTTAATTTCCCACTAGCTATGCCACCGGTCCCATCTCGCCCAATCTTCTTCAATATCCCCACAATACCAGCAGCAGCCAACCTAGCAGCTCGGCGAGTTACCACATCACACACTGCCACCACTAGCTTTCGAAGTTTAAGAGGGACATCGGGTAACTATAAAAGATGGAATTTATCAACAACAAAAAAAGGAAGCATAATTAACTATATATACTACTCCGTCCATGCCCAAAAAAGAGTCATAGTTTATTTGGCCCAAATAAAAAGTCCGCGATCATCAAACGAAACATATTCTGTTATGCAATTAGCCAAAAGTGATCAAAAAGCATCACAACAAATTACATGTGACATATTAGTTCAACCTGATAGATTTATTTAACAGGGCCGGGCCGATCATTTGACTTCATCTCGGCCAAACTGGCATAACCGGATGGAGGAAGAGGTAAACAAATACCAGAAAGTCAGCAGGTGGGTTCGAATGAAAGCAGCTAGGGTCCAGGTACAGACTATTGAATGATGGGACGTGACTACAAAAGTACAAATGAATTGTATAGTTGTACAAGACTACGGCGCTGATTTAAAAATTATCCATATCGATTAGACTTCTAGCTTCCTAGCAGACGTGTACAGGTGTCAGGGACATGTCATCACCTGGTTGGGGGTGTACCTAATCTACGCTTGTCACTAGGCTCCAGTTGCCAGCTAGCTTCAGTGTGACAAAGAATCACGTCTGATCACCTGGCTGATCAAAGTGATGAGAGATGCTAGGCCCAACTGAGGCCGTAGTGACTTAGATGCTTGGCCGAAATACATGGGCCCAACCAACGGTTTCTATCAAACCAACCACTAAATTAAAAAGTGTACATTGGTCAAACAGGACTTTTTTGATAGACGGAGATGCATAAATTATGATGCAAAGTGTTACGGAGCATGTGCATTTATTGCAACACTAGAATGCAAACAAAATATGATGAAATGATGAACATACCTCCAGGATGTCTCCTAGAATTTTTGCTACTTCACTCAATTCAAGTGAATCATCCTCATGCATAGCTGCCATTAGGGGTGTCCTAAAACCATTAATAGAAAGATAACTTAATATGGATCAACAGAATGGATGATGTGGAAAAGGAGGATAGAAAAGTTGGCACATGTCTGTAATTAACATTAAAAGATCCAAACATGCGTACTAACAGTAGCACCATTAAATAACTAAGAAAAACAAAAAATCATTACCAGTCAGCTTTAATAATAACATCCCCAAGTGAAAATATTTGTAGATGCAAAGATGATAGTAACCCTAGATGATTAATATGATTGGAAAAAAATAGGATGTAATGTTGTGTGTCACCTACTGAGGGTATATCAGGCTGTAATTGACCTACGAGTGCTATTTATTATAACAGCTAAGGAGATACTAGCCTTGCCACCCATGCTCGACTTGTCATTTGGTTGTTTCTCATTTGCAACCTTTCTAAGGAGAGAATATTCCTCCACTTGACTACAATACACCACACTGTTTCCTTTTTCCCTCTATAGTTTGCATACACACGCACACAAGCATTGACTCAAAGAGGAATTTACCTCAACAAAAACGGGGTTGCTAATTTTGAAGACATGGGACCTAAAACATCACTCTCCTGAGACATTCTAAGAAGAATTCTTCTTACTATCTCCCCCAAATACATTCCTGATATCATTTTCTCAAACCCCTGCAAGACAATGTGCCATAGAGGTGATCAGCAGAGAATATATATCATCCTGATTGAGAAAGTTTCAAAACATACCAAACGCTACCTGATCATTAGGGTTTGGGCTATCAGCATCCAAGTCGCTGTCATATGAGGTTCGTGGTAAATGAGATGACCAGAAGTTTCCCCATTCCATATCGACTACCTAATTAGAAGAAAACAAAGATGCAAAAAAAACATATATACCAATCAGCCTTTCCAGATAATAATATCATATTCACAATAACAATTTGAAAAAAATGCGAGATGAATACCATGCTTCCTGAAGTTGTTAGAAGCCCTTGGCATTTTATGATTGCTTCGGCTCGCTCCACATAGCAAGCATTAGTACCTTTCCCAAATATAACAGCTGCAACTGTGTCTATATCATTGTAATGTCCAAGCGCCAGTGTTGCCACAGTATCATTAACCTGCCCAATACGGAAGCCAAATGCTGCTGAAAACAAATTTATAATCCTAAAATAGTAGTGAATATGTGAGGAGAAGAAAAATGATATCAATAGTTGATCACATTTCAATTCTTACCAATGCTGCTACTCGAACATCTAGACCTGTTCTAGCAATTGCAACTTGTAGGCACTCACAAACATTTCTTCCAACCTGAAACAAAGTAAGGATTCCTTACTTCATAAGTTTCAGTAAAGAAAGCAAACAGCGAGCCAAGTATTGCATATTAAAAATAGTCAAATGCCATTCAGAAACATGACATCCATCCTTTCACCTTATTTATTCATTTAAGAGAAATGATGTTTACTGCATGGCAAAAAAAAAAAAAAAAAACTAGGCAGGCTTGCCTGTCTGATGTATTGTCATCCCCCAAGCCCCATTAATTTTAAAAAGTGGTAATGTACAATGGTCAATGAACTATAAAACCACGACTGGCAAATGCTAAAGAAAATTAGAAACTAACTTTGTCAAAATATTATGTAGTTCATAGATGATAATTTGAGCATTGGTTTGACTTTCTACAAACTTTATCCAGTAATGGTCCGTCACCATTATTTGTCTGAAACTCCATTTATTTGACTGAAACTCCGAAAGTGCACAGCTTTTAAGATCTTTCCATTTACAGTGTCCAATCAACTTTCTGGTAAAAACAACTGCAAAACCTAGATCATCTCACCCAAATCCTTGATATGTTTTCTTCATTAGTTAGAGATAGGGTCAGTGTTGAGATGAGATTTTCTGAGTAGTCATATTAATGGACAAATTTAACCTATTAAAAAATGTCACATGTCAAGCATGTGAGAATTTACCATGACTTTCCACAGGAAACTTGATCCAAAGATCGTAGATGTAAAACAAATGTCAAGAACTGTACACGAAAGTGCCAAGAAAGCCCAGGGACTGGTACAGATTTTTTTTCCCGTTAACTCACTAATTGTCTAATGTATTGCAGTATTGCAGTATAGATATATATTTGTCAGTTGAAAATTAGGGCAATCATTATGCCATTCACCATTCATTATGCAAGTAAAATCCAAAAACATATCATGCTAGCACACACGTAAAGCCATCCAGGCAGAGTTAGCTAAATGTGATAATAAAATTCAAGGAAGATCTATCAATCTAACCATGTCTTTAATTTCAAATCCTTGGGTCCACTTGATCAAGTTGCCAGATGAGAGAGAAGTTTGCTTGACCGGAAAAGGAAATGTGAAGCCAAGGCTTCTCCCATCTTGCAAGTGTTCACAGTTGTCATTTTCCCTTCCAATGAAATCCTTCAATGATGATGCAGTTAAATCGAAGAGTTCCTTCATGATAATAAAACCAAGGTGGAGAAAAATATCACATGCAAAATCGACAACAGCTAAATTGATATGTCAATTTAGAAGAAAAACCCATAGAAGACAAAGTCAGTTACCTCACTGGAGCCGCTCAGTAAACGTTGAGGAATGGTATGTTGCAGTACATCAGGTCTGAGAGCAGTAGACCTTTGACCACTAAGCTGAACCCGCAGAACCCGAAAGTTTGTATCTCGAAGGTCCAGAGCATAATATGTTCCCTTCTCACTACTAAATACACCAACTTATAAATCGATATAAGTGTAACCAAAACATGAACAATCAAATAACAAGCATAGAAATGACACCTTACAAGCTTTTTGTTTTTCTTGAATTTTCAAAACATAGTTGGAAGCCCCATGTTACTCTTACTTACAAATTAGAACAAATGAACAATTGATAGACCCACACAGGTAACCAGATCAACATTGGAGCATGTGCAATTATTACTTCTAGAAATATGTGGACACACTACTGTCATGTTTCTAGGTAACAAAATTATTGTCAGCAGCAAGGGTGTCTCTTAAGTCAAACCAAGGGAACCAACAATAATTGGAAATACAGCTCCATTATTAGGTTATTACAAAGGAGAAAACTCTAAAAACACTCATCCAGCACTGTCAACACATTGTATATAACTTACGTCAAGTATACTGCACCACTGATAGAACAGCTTACATAACAAAGCAAATTTGTTTGCTTCTGCTTGTGAAGCGCCACTGTAAAATCTAATAAGTTGAATGTTCGATTAAAAATACAAACTTCACCAGACAACAAATTATCTATGTTCACACCACAAAGCAAAAGACGCAAGAGTTTTAAAAATTTGTGGAGAAAAAAAAACACAGGGACCACCCTGCCCCACAAAATTAACTAATGAAATATATCTTCCATTCTTCCACATTAGAGGCTGATGAACAATGTGTCAACACTGCCAACTCAAAAAGATATAAAGTGAATCTAGTCTAGATGCGATAAAAAGTGACTTAGGCCTTGTGATAAAGTGTAAGGTATTTTAAAACAAAAAAAATATCCCTAGGAATCAAACTCCAAATTCAACTTAAATCACCTTTAAGGAGGAATCCACAACTCACGGTTTTGATGATCAGAAAAAAGTGATTGGATAAGAAAAGGGTCCAAGAACATGTATAATCCCATTGAAACGCCAATGAAAATGACAATACGCAAATACAAGAAGCACCAAACATTAAAGATGAAGTTAAGCAGTTCTGTTCTATTTAAGGCAAATTGTATCTTTTGGTTTTTTGCAAGCAGTGAGGTCTGTACAGCTCGACTCCAAGAAATCAAACACGTGACCATTCTCAGAACCACAAAAACTAAAACACATTCAAACAGCCCTTTCTCCAATTACATTAAGGTGAACGCTTGTATTCAAATTGAGTTTAAAAGAACATACCCCTTGGGAAGATTGTCCACATATGTGAGCAACATCTTAAGCTTGCTCCCGCCTTCAGATGCAAGCCCAGCATGCATCTCGACCGCCATAGCATCGACTACTTTCTGCAGCCGCCCAACAGGCGTGGCGCAGGCCTCCTCCAGCTCCTCCAGAACCGACGCCACCTTCTGCCACTTCTTCCGCCTCCTTACCCGCCTGCCCACCACCACCGTCGCCACCACACACGCCGCCACCGCACATCCCATGACTAACCCCACCCCCAACCGCCCCATTTTCACAGTCTTTCGCAAATCTACTCAGGTTAAACCAGTGAAATCATCTCCACACGACGGCGTTTCATACTTTCATAAAACCCCGTTTTAAACTCCCTCTCCTTCCGAGGGCTCGGCGATTGAAAGCAACACACGGTCAACCGTACGGTTTGACCAAACACCGCTGTCACACTTCAATGACGATAATTGCTGCCAGTTAACCACAATATTAACGTGTGTGTGTGGAACACGCGCAATACACACCTTTCTGTTCCAAAAAAAGCCAAAATTGATTAAATTAATACTTCCTCGTCTGGGAGGAAACGGCGCCGGACGTTGATGCGCGAAGAACCGGAGAGTTCTTCCGGCGGCGGAGACGCGGCGACGGCTGCTGGGAGAAAAGTTAAGTGAGAGAAGGGGAGGGTCGGTGCTGTTTGGGTTTTGTACAGTAGGAGAGTGCTGGAAAGCGAAGGGCGGCATACTTATAGCGGAGGCGTAATGACGGATTTGCCCACGGAGAACATAAGAAATGGCGGATTCGTTAACCTTTCGTTAAGCGTGATTTCAACTTGACCGTTTGCGGAAATGGGAATTTGCCAGGTTGGATTTTGTCCCCGGGCGGTGTACGAGATTGCCATCGAGATGGGGAGGGTATTACGGGTTTGCCACTGGCTTTTTGTGGTAAAATTTCTAAAAAAAGTGAAGGGATGAATAACTGGGAAAATTCCCGTATATGAGTGGGAATGATAATGTGAAAGGCTGATTAAATTGACTCGGTCTGATATTGAATGAAGAGAATGTGACGATCTCAGGTTTTGCGGTCTCGTTTAAGAGAAATCTCTATTATCAAATATTTTTGAAGTGACATGTAAAAAATGTTGATAGTGACTTTCTCAAGTCTTTATCTCTTAGTTGGTTCATGTGGATATTTGAGAGTGTGTTTTTATTTGGTTTGTTTTTAATTCATGACCTGATTTAAACTGATCATATCATATACGTTGAGGTCAGTCATTTACCAGATCAATTAAGATCAGTCTAAACCTGATTTAAACAGATCAGATCCGACTTAAACAGATCAGGGCAACATCGATTCCTTATTTAATTTCTCAATATGTGCGCAATCAAAGCCCTTTGGCAAACAAAGACTAAGCATAAACGGCATTAGGTTCGAAGCGAACCATAGGAAGAAGGGATAAGAGCGGTTAACACCGATTGACCGAAAGTTGCAGGCGCTTTGTCTTTGCCTCCAACAGTTGACTGGGCTATAGCAAGTAAAACATCCCCAACTATGCAGTTAGGAGTTGAAGCCATTGTTTTTTGCCTTTTATTGTGGAGTACTCCATATATAGTAAGTTTTTTTTAAAAAAAATAGTCATATATTTGGAAAAATATTTTTACCTGTAGTTTAAAATTTAGGGAGAATTACAGTAAAGATAAGTATGGTTTGAGTCGTTTTTAAATAGGGACATGTGTTTCATTTTTCACAAAATTGGCACGTGTTTTACTTTGATGCGTCACCTCCTTTCTAGGGGGATCCTCAAAGTGTCCCATTTTTTTTAAAAAATGAACCTCATGCCCCTATTTGAATATGGCTCAAATCACAAGTGTTTTTAGTGTACTTTTCCTTAAATTTTAAGATCTTTTTGAAAATTTCAAATCAAACTAGATCATGTGAGATTAGACTTGATAATTTTAGTTCAATTAAAAACATTCAATTCATGATTCAACTGGTGTGGGACCAACCTCCCTAAAAATGTCGCATGCCAAATTTACTATGCTCAACCCAAATTTGTTGGGGTCTTCGTGTAAGGGGTGATAATCGAGTATTTGCATTGCTTAAGGATCCTCTAAGTTCAGTTTCCGAATTGATATTTCTCCCCTATGTCAGGTTACAAGAAATTCAATTTAGGATAATCTTTAAGGACTCTCAACAACTTAGGCACAAGATCTAGAGCTCAAATTAGTGAGTATATGGAACGCTTTCTTTAATTCGAGTGTCATAGTGATGAAGATATGTTGTATATATGTTCTTTGTATGAAATATGGTGAGATATGGTGATATATATCCATATTAACCGTACCAAGCAGTTAGAACCAGTTTGGGAATAATTGTGGCAGTTTATGAAAACTGCACGAAATTGCTCAACCGCTCTAAACCTCGGGTTCCACTGTTGTAAATACTTTGAAATTATATTTGTTCTTATATACAAGTGTGCACTTCACAGCTACTAACTTGTATTAGACCATAATTCTAATCTCTATTGAAAGTTGAAACTCATGTCATTTCCAATTACACGACCAGTGACACTAAAATCACTAACAAAATTTACTTGATCTTATATGTTAAAATTTTGAACTTTTTAGGTTGTGATTACTAAAATGGTGTGGAGCCCATCTAATAACTAATAAGAAATTTTCGTTTTTAATTGCTTAATCCATTTCTTTTACAAGTTTTGTGTAATCTATTCAGCATCACCTTTCTGCAAATTCAATATAATTACTCCTAGAGAGAGTAGTGTGGATCACTTTATTGCAATTTGCAAGGAACCCATCAATCAGCTCTAGGATTGGAGGAAGAGTTACCCCTCGTCAAATTATTATAACCTCTATGCCTGTAGGATCTGTAGTCCTAGTTTCTGAGTACTTGTGGCCAAAAGTTTGGCCATATAAGGTCAAAAAGGATTTGTAAACCTTCCAACAGACACAATTCTCCTCATAGTCACACCTTTTTGCATACGTTTACTTTCAAAATACACATAACAACACACCTTTATTAGACGATATACTTGAATAAAGCACACCAGAAATTTTCATTGCATGTGAAACCATTACAAGAAACATCTACTGATCTACCTTGTATATCGCATATGATAAGGTTTTTTTAGAGGACATATGATAGAGTTATTCAAACCTTGTATGCAATTTTTCTTTATTTATTTAAGCTCAGTTCATATTTGTTGGATTATCTAAAGCTTTTGTATTCATAGGTTACACACACAAACACAAATAATAATAAGAGTTATGGACTTATGTTAATTAATTTAGCAATGATAATAAAATAACCAGGTCAAGTTATGTTAAAAGGATCATCATATCAGAAATTCAGAAGGAGAAGGCAGTAAATAACAAAAGGGAATAAAACAGCTAATTCATTTAAATAAATAGCATCTCCGGGTGTAATAACCAGGGGACTCTCATTTTCATTTTAATTTAGTCTCCTCCCACTCGCACACACCGGACAAAAAGGAAACATAATCCTATATTGTTACCTCTGCAGCTCCGCCTAGCTATTGTTACCTATTTTTGTTTCTTTTTCTTCCTTCTAACGAGATAAATAAATACATGTACAAAAAGACATAATCTGGTAACTACTGCCTCGCTGTTTAGGGATCATCTGGGTAATTGTAGAAACATCATACACACATTACAGCTGTTTGTAGAAGAGAATGTAAGCTTGCTCATGCAGCACTTTGCTGGTTGGGATAGGAGTAACAGCAGCATCGTCATAACGCAGCCATTTTCCACTTGCGTGCCGTGCATCTGCCGTGTAGTGTCCCTTGTAGGGATCCATCCCGTGATGAGTGATCGTCGCAACCAGTTCATACCTCCTACTACCCTGTATACCACAACCACATCCACACATCATACCAATTTTAGAATGCGACAACCATCAAGGTCATATATAAAAGAAATTATCTTTGTCTTGGCTGTATCTGTCCAGACCCTTAAATCTGCTTGGAAACCAATGACACATTGTTTATAATTGCACAACGCAATTATGCCTCATGGCACGCCTCAGCTAATTCCTGGACTATGGCGTAAAAAGGCATTTCTATGGCGCTTGGAGTACGCCACATTGGGTTGCAATAAGGCACAGTGAGGCGTATGCAATAGGAGGTCAAGAGTGTTAGGTATTATTTGGGTCCCACTCGGTCACTTTTTACTTTTTATAATTAATATTTTCTGCAGTTAAAATCCTTATTTCAAACCACTAGATAATGATGATTTGGTTTTCCAGTCATCAATATAATAAACTTAAAATTTCAATGTGTTGGGAATTTTGTCTTAATGAACAGTTTGCAAATTTTTGCTCTTCTGTGCTTTGAACTTTGGACGTATTACTGTGCTAGGATTATGGCCTCATTATAATTTGTTTTAATATGACATGACTTTTGATGAAAAAGTTTTTTTTTGTTTATATACATACACACATATTTTAACGCCTCAGTCGTATGCCTCATCGCGTAGTCATTGCGTTTTAAATCTTTTGGGATTAAGGATTGGATGTTGTTGTTGTTGTAGGCATACGCCTCATCGCGCATTGAAGCTTACGCAATATGCAACTTTAAAACGCAATGACTATGCAATAGGCAATTTCAAACTTTGCAACGGCGACGGGGTCCCATGCTGTATCCAACAGATTCGGGTGCTGGACAGAGAAAGCAGATGTAGATAAACGCCACGCGGTGAACATAGTTGAATGTACAAGTTCCGCTGAGCAATGGAGATCAGGAGCCGTAAGATCTGCATGGACCCCACTGACTAGTGGATCTTGTGCTGACCCAATGGCTCCGCAAGCTCCAAGAGGCACACTTGGCCTTTTGGCGAGACATAAAAACCGGATCAGGAATAAAGACAACAGGTGGACATAGTTAAATTGTGTCAATCATCGAGGTCACACTGAAATTATTCTTGGCATGGGGCTCGGAAGAAGATCCGGAGCCGTTAGATCTGCTCATACCCCAGAGGTTAGTGGGTCGCATGCAGGTCGTAAGGCTCCCCCACTATTAACAAGAAAAAGGAGAGTCCCACCTCAGAATAAGAAGAAGCAAGCAAATCGCGTCCAAATACAAGCTCCAAAGGGAAGTGCACAGATTTGTGCAACTTTGTGCTTCCTTCACTTCCGTAAGTAAAGCGCATCAGATGCAACACCATGACGTCAGAAAGCTTTAAAATCTTCACAGACTTGCTGGCAACCACTACAGCCTGGACCACATACATCACATTGTGAGAATATCTTGCCATTTTAACAAGTATTGTATGATTCATGATGCAATTTCAGCTTCAAGCCCAAAAGTGTTGCCGAGTGTAACATTAAGTGAAATGCAAACACTTCTATAACTGTCTAGTAGGCTCACCATGATGATGGATTTGAAAGGATAACAATACGCTACTTGTATGAAAGTTCAACAATATAATTTTTAGGGAAAACTGTCAAATAGGTCCTTGAACTTTCATAAAAATGTCAAATAAGTCCTTATATAGGAGGCTCTGTTTGGCCGTCGCGATTTGGGGCGGTTCCCGGTGGAATTTTTTGATGAAAATTTTTGAACATCTTATTCATCAAGTCTAGTTTACTCATACCAAATTTCAGCTAAAACTTCAAGCGGGAACGCATTCAAATTAATTCTTCAAGATAATTGTGCAGTTAAATGCGAAGTTGTCTTCAAGAATTAATTTGAATGCGTTCCCGATTGAAGTTTTAGGTGAAATTTGGTATGAGTAAACTAGACTTGATGAATAAGATGCTCAAAAATTTTCATCAAAAAATTCCACCGGAAACCGCCCTAAATCGCGACGGCCGGACAGAGCCTCCTATATAAGGACTTATTTGAGCTTTTTATGAAAGTTCGAGGACCTATTTGACAGTTTTCCCAAAATTTTATTATTATTCTAGATGCAACTCAATTAGGATTAGATTATAAGCAAGAAAAGTGAAATGGAAAAGACAATGCTGGATGAAAGCAGAATTAAGTGAATAAGGATCACCTTCTCATCTGTTGATGTTTTATACCCTTCAAGAGTCTCAGGTGCAGAAAAGAGTCGAAGGGCATCTTCTATTGTACAAACAGGGTCTGGGCAGATGTTAAGGTGGATCAGCAGAAATGGCTGTACTGTAGCTGAGGGTTTAAGACCTGTATGATTTAAAGAAAG